TTTTCTGCATAATAATAAAAAATTACTCATTCCATATTTAGTAGAATGTATGTTCCTTGAAGGTNTTTTCTGCATAATAATAAAAAATTACTCATTCCATATTTAGTAGAATGTATGTTCCTTGAATGTAGGGACTATTTTTCTGTGTGTATGTGTGTGTGTGTGTGTGTGTGTGTGTTTGTGTGCATGCGCCTGCACACACTTCATCTTCAGAGCCTAGGATAGTGCCTTGCATATAGCAAGCTTACCAAACGCTTGTTGAACATATCTGGTTCACTTCTCAATGAGGCTAATAGGCAAAATATCCCAGTAAAATGAATTTAAAATCAAATATTTTCTTTTACTTTAATTTACAATGGAGAGAATAAACAAATTGGCCCAGATTTCTTTCTGCCTCTCAGAGTTCATTAACTGCTGTGTCCTGAAAGAGTCTATGGGCTTCTCTTATGGGACCACACAGGAAGGGACTTTGATGCTACGAAAAGAATAAAGCCCCGTGGCTTTATTTAAATTCCCACATCTATTCTGAGAGTCCAATGTAAAACATCTTATTTGAAATTTGTTATTTAAAAAAAACTGACAAGGAAGTGGAAGTGGGATGGGGTTGAGGAAAGATATAGTATGGTTTGTTCTCTGAAATCACCTTTCTTCTCACCCCTGCAGATTTCCAGACATTATTTTCTTAGAGGCATTGAAACAAGGATGTCACCCCTTTAATCCAGCCCCTCAGGAAAGAGCAGTATCAATAGGGCTAGACAACTTGGTAGTTCCAAGTGGTGTTTGCCACTTTGGTGTAAGACCTTTAACTTGAGAACTACTCTTCAGATACCTCTTAATTAAGGGAGTGGGGGAGAGTTCCTTGGGAGTGGATCGGCTCAGTCTTAAGGAAACATTTCTAAGAAATAGAGCTTCTGCCCAGTAAAAGGATCTGCCTCATCAAGTACTGAGTTCCCCATCCTAGGAAATGATCAGGCAGAAGCCAGATAACCATTCATAAGGCATATTGTGGAAGAGGTTCATGAATGAGATAAGATATTGATTCAAATGAAATCCCTTTTAACTCTAAAATTTTATGGTTCCATAAAGTTGTATGATACTCAAACAACCCTGAGCCTAGATAAAAATAATAAAAGTTTTTTAAAAGTCCTTACTTTTTTTAATATTCACTTTTGGCACTGTCCTTGCCCTATCCCCACCCAAACCTACCCTTCCCTCCACTGCCCACAGGTAACGCCCCCCCCAAATCCCAAAGGTCTTTCATTGCTAGCACCATCTTCTGAGGACCTCCTACTCTAGGGCCTCACCCAGATCTGACCTCTTTTGTTAGCATCACTAGCCTCCCTTCTCCCTTTAAAATATTCTGTCTTGTGTCTTAGGGAATGATAGAAAATACATACTATTGTGTTCCTAGGTACTTATGTTTTCACCTTCCTAGATGACGTGCATTTTAACAGGGTCTTTATGGACACAATACCTTAACTCAAAGGAATAACTCTAACAATAAGGATTTCTGGCTCTGTGGCAGACCAGCAAAAGAGACCTTTCCAAATAAGTAAATAAGGGGGCTCATGATACTCAATAGGAAGTAAAATGCACCCCTTAAGCATAGGGAGAGCCTTGAGATTTAAAGTTTATCAAGGTCCAGGATCATTTCTGATTGCTGAGTAGATTGGAATTAAAGAGCATGAAATCTGGAGATGCTGTCCTAAGAGCAGACAGCATGCTTATGTAAGTTCACATTATCCTTCCCAGATTGGCTGCAAAGTGTATTATTTCCATAATTTTTTTAATTGTAGGTTTTACAGTTCCTTAGAGGGGCTAGATAGTCTACCCCAGAGCCATAAGCCTTTAATTAACTATAATGAAGAGAACGACATTGTCCAGAAATAATATTTATTGATCAACGGTAAAACACACAATAGAAAAAGCCTTGTAAATAAAACTATATATATATATTTAATGCTTTATTTTTTCTTCAGTACTCCACAAAACACTACAGACAGTAACAAAATAATTCAATTAATTTTTAAAATTTTCAAGATATCATACACCCTTCACATTCTGTAGCCATCAACAATACCTCAATCATTGGTTTCTGAGATGTAATATTAACTAATATCATACATTTCTTTCTCAAAACAATTGACATGATTTATTTCTATCCAGAAGTCATAACATGTACACATATCCATAAACAAGAGAACAGCTCGGGACACGTTAGGCAAATCTTCCAGTGGTCTGGAACCATTTGCCCATACATCATTTAGAGAAAATACAAATGAACAGGAGAAAAGGAGCAACACACAAAAGAGAGATAACCTTGGGGCAATTGGGGGGAGGCAGGGCATTGACAGGAGCAGCCTACATATTTTCCATTGCTCTTTTAATAATGTGCTCTCTTCCCTTTTCTGTTTTTGCCTGATTGAGGTATTCCAGCACTTTCAGCAACAGATCTTCATCTAGGTACTGTCTGTTCTGGGTTTCATCATTTTCCTGGGTAACCAGAGGAAGCCTTTTGGTGACAGAGCCCAACTTATCAGACTCTTGAGATCCCACCTGGCTTAAATGCTCTTTAATGGCTTGTTCGATCTGTTCCTCTTCTTGCTGGTCATCTTCTGAGGAGCCCGGGATAGAAACCGGTTTCATCTGGTTTGAATTCATAACCTCAGGGTATTTAGCTAACACTTTAGCTAAATAATCTCCTAATTCTTCATCCTTCTCTTTCATGTTTTTGTATGTCACTTGTCTCCTTTCCAGATCTGGCATCCAAGCAGCTTTGGGAATTTGTTGCCCTCTAATTCTTCCAGGAGAATAGGAGAGCCTTGGGAGAATGTTCTCTCGACTAAACTGGTTGGCAAAATATGGGGCTTTTGGATTTGCTGCATTCTCAGTCCCTAAGAGGCTTAAAATGTCCTCAATATTAAGGCCTTCAGGTAGGGAATCTGTCACAGCCGCTCCAGACTGCTTTCCATAGCTACTCTTAGAGCCCATCTTATTTTGGAACAAATCAGGATGTTCTACATCAGTCTCTGCGACTTCCTCTAGGTCATCTGGCAGTTCAGGTTCCTGCTCAGGCTCCACTCTTTCATTTGGCTTATCCCCAGTTTTGAGCATGTCAATTAAATCTTCAGGTGGGATCTGCAAATTCCTTGATATTTCAATTAGCTGATAAATTGACTGGGGATCAAACTGTTTCTCCAAAAACTTAGCTGCTCTCTTTTCTTCATTTTTTCCACCCCTGAACTTCCCATTTCCTGCACCATTCACTAACTTTTTCAAATAATAGTTCATTAGCTTAGATACTTCATTTGAGAGTTGATCCTTGTTTTCTTTCCTAAGATCTTCATCTGGGATGTCAAGTTGCCCTGAACGCTTCATCTCATCTTCAATTTCTTCTTCATTTTTGTCAATTTCCTCTTTGCTGTCTCTTACCTCTTCCTGGGTTTGGCTCTCTATTTTTTCTTCTATCGGGTTCCAGTCTTCTCCACCAACAACATCTTCATAGGCAATGTTGTTAACTTTGTAGATGTCATCTTCATCATCTGCATATAGTTTTTGCTCCTCATCAACCCTCTCACGCTTGTGGTTGTTTGGCCCAGTCAGCTTCCCCAGTTCTTGGAAAACAGACTCCAAAGTAGCAAGGCTTTGAGGAGTGTATTGTTCTTCCACAATCTCATTAGTACGTTTAAAAGGGTTGTCTCGGGAGCTCTCTTCATGCATGCGTGGCAACTTGGCGTGCTTGTGTCTTCTTTCAGGCCACTGTTGAGCCTCATAATCTTCACTCAAATCAATAGGAAAGTTCTTTTCAGAATTCAAGGCATAGAGTTGGTTCTCTTTGGGAGCAGACTGAGGCTCTTTTTCAGCTTGTCTCAAGGCTTCCAGTATTATTTGCATCAAATGTGACTCTTCTTCATTCAATGAATCCCTTAAATTTTCTGGCAAGTGGCTTTGATCAATACTTTCTTTCTGCTGGAGAGAAACTGGAACTCCCTGATAAGAATTATACTCTGGGTTGATTTCCCCCTTGTTAGCTTGCTGTCTAAGGTTTTCTATGTACTCCAAAGCCTTAATCATATCAGGACTCGGAAATCTTTGAAAGTTTTTTAATCTGTAGTCTGGGTCTTTCTGAAGCAGTTGGTAATGTTGAAATGAAGCTGCATCAACACAACAGATTAGGAAAGTTAAGCAGGTGAGAGACAAGGCTGCTCCAAGCCAGCAAGTCTTAGGATCTGCCATATTTGAAAGATTTCCTTAAAGGAAAGAAAAGAACAGTTAACAAAAATAAATCAAAGTAGGGGAATTCAAGGCGTTCCTTTTTCATTAAATTTTGACAGCAAAAAACAAGAATATTTCAAAATGAGTCCTACAAGTTAATCAACAGGGTCTTAATAGAATTTCAAGATAAATTCATCAAGCTTTAGGGATATTTTCTTAGTAATAACCACCATAAAGAGAGACCACTGGAAACCCAGCATAGTTTAATGGATTAAGGGCTGGCCTTGGGTTCAGAAAGACATTTGTTCAAATCCTGTTTTTGACACATACATTTGATCTGTCTAAGGGCAAGTTAACTAAATTTTCAATGTCTCGGGTAACTCCCTAAGAATTTAAGTTATAAATAAGCTGATGATCTGCATAGGTAGAGCGAATTTCTAATGAAGCATTCCCAACAAGAATAAAATCAATACAATAAAATAATAAAAAATGAAATAAAAAGATTCAGACCATGTAAACAAATAAACAAGTAAATAAACAAATAAATATACTGTAATAAGCATTTTCAATGTGGATACAACTGTGTACCTTTTATTTTGGCAATAAGCAGCCTCAATCTTTAAGGGTATTCTGGCTTAAGGGTCTTTTTTAAAAAAGAAAGATAAAAGTGTTCCAAAGAAATGAACATTTTCCTAGTGCTACAACAATTACAGAGGTCACTGAGAATGATAATGATAATCACGAAGCAGAATTTATGGGTAATTTAACCATGATGTGTCTAAACCATGGAAAACAATCACTCAATACATTGAAAATAATCACTTTTAATCAGCTGTTGGAGGTTGTGCTGACCAAACAGATGGTTAGTTTAATGGAGTTTTCACTTTTAAACAAATTTTGCTGGTATAATATAGACAATGCTACAGTGATATTCCTGAATGTAATAATCTATTAGAGAATAGTAACACAAATCCACACTGAATTCAGTTATGAATAAGACCCTTCTGCAAACATTTTTCATCCCAACAATAACTTCTTATACCAGTACCAAGTATTTTACATGATTTTTGGAAGACTAAAGATTTGTTAACTTTCAAAATATGTAACCTTTCAGATCACAACTGAGCAAGTTTAAATTTTAAAAAAATTCTATTTTTAAAAAGATAAAAATGTGAATATATGTATTTCAATCTCTGTACTTCATGCTGATTCAAATAAGGTCACTTGCTTTTATTGTATCTTTAACCATAACCACCATTTTTTCACTTTATTTCATATTATTTCATCAGTCTTAATAAGACATAGTAAATAATCACACATGCTCATGCTGAAGTATGAGTTTTCTTAACTGGCCTATTTCTGTCCCTATAAGCATGCAGAACCAGCTTGTCCAATGTCTCTAACTATTTTGGTATGGACCTGTGAAAAACATCCTCTTGAATGACTCATGTTGCTAAAAATTCTCAAAATAACCACTATTTGTCTCCTAATTTAGGTAGAACAAAGAGGATGTACTGAATTTATCATCCTTAATATTTCCATTCATTTCCCAATTTAATGGCCTTATAAATTCATATGAAAATTAGGAAGTTAGCTTCGATCATGGCTACTACTGAAGACTTTCCTTCTAATAGTTGGCAATGCTTAGTTTTAGTTGTGTATGAAATAAATTTTTTAAAAAAAAAGGATTGCCTTGTTTGTTTCTGGCAACCTGTGAAAATCTGACATTCTTCCAATAGGAAAAAAATGTTGTTGTTTTTTAATTTAGCAACAGGTGAACCATTCAAACAAGATCAATGTGTATAATGTTCTGCTGACCAGTGCCTAACACTGTGGAATATGGCATCATTTCCTGGACAACTTTCACCCTGACAACCCTAGATTGTTCAGTTTGTTATTAGGCTAAATATATGACCTTATTTAATTGTAATAGTCTAAATTCTATCTTTACTGATTAATTTCATTGTCTAGGTTATTATTTATTTCATTAAAGTAAAAAGTAAAATGATAACAAGGTATTTCTAAGTAGAAATATTTTCTGTCTTTTTTTTATTTTTTGAGTACATTAACCTAGCCAAAAAACCATAGGCTAAATTAGATTATAAGCTCTTTTCCAGGTTATTTTAAGCTTAATTTCACTTCAGACATCAGTTTCAACTTTTTGCATTCAAATAACATTATGGAAAACTGATTCAGCTCCATATCCTTTAAAATTATATTTCTATAGCACACTTAAAATTACAGCTGTGTGTGTCTTTAAAATGCTCATTTCAGAGTACTGTGTTTTGGTTGATTGGTTTTTATGTTTTCCCCTGGGTAAGTACTGCAGTATGTTTAACATCATAGCTTAACAACTTAACCATTAGTCATTTTTTGCAGGTTCCATTTGGTCAAATAGTAGCTTTTTCAAGACAAGAATCAAAACACTACCTTCCCACTCAGTGCCCCTCTTAAATAATGAAAACTGCACCAAGAAGTTCATTGTGGTAGTTTAAAAGAAATGCGTCTGTTTTCAGATTGAGTCATCTCAAACCTGGCTGATCAAAAGACACTTCTTCCTTTGTTTCTTTACACCACAGCACATTTGAATTAAAATGTTCTTTCTACAGATGTTAGCCTGGTGACTAGATTTCTGGTCCCTAGTACTTCTATTCATCTGAATTGAACAATCTGATCAACTTGAATCTTGGCCAAGATCTTGAGCAACAAATGGAATGATCCTTAAATCATCCATTAAACCATAACAAAAGCCACAACAGTTTGATATAGTATTTTTACCCAGTTTAAAAGATATTTCCATAGAATTTCTATATTGTGAACTGTATCTCAAGGGAATAGTCCATTAAGAAGCTAAAGATAACCTAGGTATACATTGTCACTTTCATCTTAGCCTTCCTGGATTAAAATTAGAAAGCAATAAGAGAGTTCTTTTCAGGGTATGTCATCCTAATGTGGATTCTACATAGTTGTTTTATTATGAGGTCTTGTAAGGTAAATGCAAAAAAGCAAACTATTCTGATAAAGCTGATAAACTGTATTTGTAACCTGGGAAACCTGCCACCTAACACATTCAATATATAAATAACATTTCTAGGATTTTACCTGGTTCTGTTAAAACAAAGATTATAGAATGTTAAGATTTTAAAGCTTAACAGAAATATGTGCATTGGCATCAAGATCTTTAACTTTTTCACATTCCTTCTTATTCCTTCCTGGTGTATAGGAAGAAACACTTGACTCTTGGCCACTGAATACCCTAATCATATATGACACAAATAGGAGTTCAGTCATCAGAATAATAGTATCCTTACAATGGTCAAATGTGCAGCAGGTTGCAATTCAGTTATTGCTACTTGAAATATATATGCCAGATCAAGCTTTCCATATTAACCTAAGAATACAGAGGAAAATATAGAACTTTTCATTACATAGAATGGAAACGCAGTCTTACCTGTTATTTAGATGGCCGAGTGCATCTACAGCATAGTCTTCCCGTCCGTAAGCAGGGAGTTTACGGACTGTTTTCAGCACCCGGACAGCTCCCTCTGCTTATACTGAACACCACCTGACTCCGCACTGCCACGCTGACGTCACTGTACTCAGTCACACAACCAAAGCACAAGTGAGCTTTTCAAAGAGCACTAGAGAAAATAATCATTTTATGAGGTTTTGTGTGTGTGCGCGTGTGTGTGTGTTTAAACAAGTCTAATTTTGTTGCATGCTTACGCCACCTGTCTTTTTGGGGTGAAAATTGCAGTTTTCTACTATCCAACATGCTCTAAAGCAGAAAAAGCTCCACTAACCCTTTAAAGTCAATGTTATGTGAAGCATCCCTTGGCAAAAATAAAGAAAGAAATCTGTTAGACAGTCACAGTTAATTGCATGACAGTCTCATCATTTTTCCAATAACTTATTATGGATTGATTTTTGTCCTATTGAGAAAGTTTTAAAGACAAGAATTCGTTCATTGAACACAAAGAAAATGTTTTATCATCCTCATACTATCACTGCAAAATGAAAGCAAAAGGGTTATTCATATACTCCTTCATGTCTTGAACCAAACATAATTCAAGGAAAAAAATCACTTTTCTTATCAAATAAACTTGAAGTTTCCTTGTCTTTTCTGATTTTGAATCTTGCCTCAGTATTTGTTTGTATTTAAATCCTCCACATACATGTTCATATGATTTGTGTTGAAAGCAGATCCTGGATTTACATGGACCTGCATTTGTATTTTATGTTGTCTAATTTTCAGAAAGAAACTGGAAATGTTGTGAACAACTGAAGTGACTTTGATTTTCTGGGGGGGGGAACAGTCCCTCCACTTCAGGAATAAGTGACCAAGAAATCTCCCTTAGGGATTATTCTGACATTGAGGGAAAGAGGGAATATACACATTGTTCTTTATCCCTTTCAAATCTAGTATGCACTAATAATAGTGCAGCAAGGGTGGGCTACCAAATGACTGCCTCTACCTCCACGTTAATGAATATGATCAAGCAAGAGTATATAAATTTACTACTTATGATCTTGATTCCCTACTGGTACATAAAAAGTGTTATGCACTTAAATTAATCATTTAAAAACTACTGGCTTACCTAGCTTTGTTCAGTAGACATAGCACTTATATGTTTTATGAAAATTGAATGCCATTTTAAATAGAGAGGAAATCACTACATAAATAATCTCTTCAGTGAATCTTTTTCTAAAGTAAAGAATACAAAGGTTACCTAATCACTCTCCTACAACCTCTATCCACAGAACTGTCACCTTTCAAATAATGGTCCTTTCAACAAGGACCCTGTGCATATAAATCAACTTGAGAATGAACATGAGGTAATGAGCTATAACAGGAGCTATATAATTCCCAGATGTTCTAAGAAAGTACATTCAGGACATATAGGGGAACAGTGTTTCCTAGAAATTAGTTGACCTACAGTAGGGTCTGACCCTTTTTTCAAGGCATTTTGCATAGTGTCTCTTTTTTTTAATTTAATGATACCTAGTTTCTCAGTCTCACT